GAGCACATCAAACCTTAAAAAATTTGCTTTCAAAACAAAAAGGGGGAACTCTTGGTTTATCTCCTCAGGAGAAATTAGATAAGGTTACTTATGTGTTGAATTTTCTGAATAGATTTGGTGATCAGAATGCTTCTTTTCATATAACAGCAGTTGAAAAACACTTTAAGTTTAAAAATGACATTCCTACAGTGAAGGCAAAAGTGATGTACAAGGATGTATTAACAGAAAAATGGGGAGGACCTTTCCCTCTCATAACTTGGGGGAAAGGTCATGCTTGTATTTTGACAGGATCAGGAACGAGATGGGTACCATTTCGGAGGATAAGAATTCATCAGGAAAAATCCGAATATACCTCCTGCGAACCTCCTTGACCACCGGATGCTTCATCACCACCAGCATCGTTATAGCCATCACCAGTTTGGTAATAAACCCCGTGTCAGCAAAAATACCATCCTGGGCCATGGGCCAGGGTGATAACATATGGGTGCAACTTGCAAAGGAGGCTAACACTGACACCATATGTTTAGCAACCAACAATGTAACAAACCCTTTTTCAACATGCTTGGTAGGTGTTCCGTTAAATAAAGTTATGTTAGACACATACAAAAATCTATCCACCACAAATAAGCCAATCGTTGAATTTGAATTATTAGGTTCAGCTATTACTAGTTCATGTTTTATATTTGTACCAAAACCCAATGCATTAAAAAATAAACTAATTGACGTCACTTCAAAAAAGGGAATATATAGAAATTCGTCACTGTGGTGCAATGGCACTACTCCAATAAATATCCCTGTAGGACCAATGATAAAACCAAAAGAGTTACTCCCTGGGGATTTCTTAATTTGTGGAGAGAGAGCGTGGAATGGCATTCCTGCCAATCCCACAGGAGGTCCATGCACTATTGGTAAAATTACCTTGTTTCATCCATATAATTTAAGTATTCCAGAAGAAATAAAATCAAAAGTTATTCAGCCTGGTTTACGTAATCGAAACAAGAGACAAATCATGACCTCATCAATAGCAGAAGATATTAGAAGAAATAAAGAGAAATATCCACTGACATGGGATTCTTTTCCACATAAACCTAATAGTCAACAACAAAAGACACATGCCATCACTCCCAAGATACAAATAAAGGCTAACAACAACTCTCTAACATTCCCTAATTCATTAACACATATGCAATTGTCCAACTTCCAAATTAATTTTGAGAATTCCAAATTTCCTGTGTTACAATCCAGCGGAATACAAAAATTAGCTGATCCAACACAGTCATCATTAAAAAACTACTTACCGGTGTCACAAGATTGTGACCCGTCAGTTTGGTTATGGCCTAGCAGCAAAGACTTCTGGATATCTTTCTTTGCTGCAGGTATAGCCTCTGACCATGCACTGACCACTCTATCTCACATGACATGT